TGATCATTTTTCTTCCCCTTCCTCTCAATGCACGCCGAAAAAAGGGAAAATTAAAAATGGATTGCAGGTGATTCATCATCAAAGGTGCGCCTGGAAAACCTCCTTGTTACTAAGCCTGAAACCGGAAAACGACATTTACAATTCAAGATTCAAGACTCAAATACAGTGGAAATATATGATACCACATGATGCACCATCTACATATAGAATAGCACCGGAAGGTTCATGAATAGGATGGAAAAATTCATTTCTTTGGAAAAGATGAGAGAATATTTCCAAAAAGCAATTCTTATTTTATTTTATTCATTTTTTATATAACATTTCCATCCATAGCATAGCTAAAAATAATTTTCCTTTTGTTTTAAGTCAAAGTGAGACTGCAGTTTGTTCATAAAGTCTGCAGTCTCTCAGGAAAGAGAAGGATTATAGCCTATTAATTTTGGTTTATTTTTGTCCCTTACTGTATTTGCCTGGATGTCTTCATGGCTTCAATGCTTAGAGTCTAATGGCAATGCTAATGTATTCTAAATCCCTGAGGCATGAAACTATTCTTGCTTTGTATCATGTTAGCCCTTGAGTGTGACAGTATGCATTCTCTCTGCAATTAAATCAAGACATTGTGCTGATGTTGTCGAAGTGTGGGTCGGTCAACAGAACTCAATTTGGAAATCTGTCATTGTCACTCGTCATTGCCCGTTTATTTACCTTCCACTCTGAGAGCGGTTTGTCCTTGCCAGATGAAATGGAGTCAGATCCACTAACGAAGGTTACATTTGAACACTTATTATAATATAAATACGAATTACATTTTTTTTATATATTCTTGTAGCCCGAGTGTGAGTTATAATAGAAATGGGATGACTTTATGTTACACAGATATTCAGTTTGGTTTTCATGTATGCTCATTTTAGGGCCCCACCTGTGCCTTGTTTTCCTCAGTTAATGTATATATAGACCTCATTTTCATCTGGTCGATTCTTATTGCTTTTTTGCTTTCTCCTGTGTGCTTCAGTTCCTGTCCAGTGTTCCAGTGTGATTGTTATTTTTGATTTATTGTTATTAGACTGCTGCAAATAGATCCTGCTTCTACACTCCCTTCTTGCAACCCACCGTGATATACTGTATGTGGTCAGAATGATCCTAATTTTCAGGGAAACTCTGTGGGCTTGGATGGCATCAGGCTATCAGCACATTTTCCTGTTTGGCTTATTTCAGCTTCTGCATCTCTGTAATTGGCTAAGAGAAGTTTATTGTCCGTGTCAACAGTAGAATGCCCAGCAGTTGTCTTTTTACAGCTTTTTCCCACATTGCCAGGAAGACCATGGACAGAAAATGTCTGAGGCCATGTGCATATCAGATTCAATTAGAGTCCGATCCATTATTCTGCGAGGAGCTTTTCAAAATGAATTAACTTGAATTGTTGCGTTGCTGCGTAACCGGTGCTTTCTGATTTCCTGTGCTCCAGTCACACTTGACTGAAATGACTCTGAGTGGGCCTTCGTTTTAGTTTGATGTACGACTGAAGTGGGATTTGCTGGGAAGAAAGCATAAAAATCAGTGCGAGGCCATTCTACAGAATGGCCATTTTTGTCCCTTCTTGACATAGACTCTTTTCTACAACAAAACGTTTTTTTTTTTATGTAAACATTGTCATTTATTAAATATTTGATAGTTTCTGAATCAAACCATTTAGAGGATGGTAATAACTTTAACCATGTTACCATGATTTTGAACAGATTTAACTATTTTAAATACGTTTTTAATATGTATATATAAATGTATAATTTAATCCTATGTATAATTAATAAATTGTGTATATAAAATTAACACTATTATTATTAGAATTATTATGAGCACCAAATGCGAGTAAATTCTAAAAAATGAATGTGAACAAATGTGAACAATGCTTGGGACAGTTGGCGGGTCAGCGCTTCATCATCCACAAAGTTTAAGCCTTGACAATTTATATATTCAAGTGCAAGAATACGCAAAAAGCGATATCATTTTGTTACTCGCACCACAATTTTTTGGTAACAATGTAAGTCTTTACTGTCACTTTTGATTACTTTAATGTGTCCTTGCTGATGACATATTAAAGTATTAATTTCTTTTTTTTCTCTTTTGAACAGCAACTTAACTTAATTTAGATTGAAATGACACATAGTAATACATTACATCATTGAATGTTTATAATCTCCACACATAAATTTACTTAAAAATGTATTTTTATCAAATTTGAAAAGGAATCAGTACCCATGAGGACGAGTCTCTTTGCTGAGGATCAGTGTCTGACTGAAGGACATACAGCCATCTGGGCAAAACATTCTGGAGATCTGCTCAACAGAGAGGAGGTTTTACACACACATTCACACAAACACACACCCATGCTGCATGTAAAATAAAAGGGCCCTGAACTACATGCCAAGCAAGAAATTTTGTGTTTAAAAGACGTCTAATGGCCGTCCAAACACAGCCCTGACATCTAGGCTAAAACGAGGCAAAATGTGGCCTGTCAAAATTTAATAGACGTGTATAGCCCAAGAATAGAAATAGCTGGTCTGACAAGGAGCTAAATCAACACATAGAACATGTCAAAGATATTAAACCAAACAGTTAACCAAGGCGGTATTGCCCTTCCGGGTATCAATTAAAGGCACACTTCAAAATAATCGGATTTTGATTTTTTTGTCCCAATTTCCCCCTTTCGACAAATCTACAAATCTAGGTAAAGTCACGATCATCTTGATGGTTCTACAGATTATCTTATAAGATATTCCTGTGGTGTGATGTGTGTTAAAAGTGATTGAATCTGCTTGGAAGAACGTCAGGTCTGCATCAATCTCAAATCATAAATATCCAACAATTTGAACAATGTACGATCAGAAATCCTGTTGTGTGGGGGGAACCCTGAGGACAAATGCAGACGCGTGCACTCTGTGGATTGCCACGTGGAATGTAACAATAGCAAATTAGACAGCATCCAAACCTTTTTCTTTTTTTTTCTGTACAAAAGCAAAAAAACTACTACCGCTATTTGTGCTTTACCGTCGTCCGCCATGTTTGTTTATTTCTGTTGGGGACCATTAAAATAAAGTGTTAGAAGATATTAAACAGACATACTAATACTCTATTGACTGGTAGTTGACGTAGTTGCAAAGTTACTTAAAGCTACACTGTGTGATTTTTACCCCCATCTAGTGGTGAAAAGGTAAATGACCATCCAGTGAATATTAAGGTTCGTTCCATTCGACCGTAAGTGGACTGCGAAGTGGACTTCACAGGGTTTTTCGCCATCTTAAGTGAGATTCCAATTTGAAGGGAACGAACATGTTCAGTTCGAAGGGCACTGCAAACGGCATAGGGAATAAGGGAACCGATTTCGTTTGAACTCCTACGGTGGCCAATGTAGTCCAAGATTAACATGGCTTCCAGTTCGACCTCATCCATGAGTGTTAACTCAAACGTAAACGCGAAAGGCGAAGCTTATGTCCCTCTTTGGCTAATGTACTTTCAAGATGGGGGGCAACATGGCATTAGAACCCCTTACCCGTATGTATTTTCAATAGCATATTATACACTCACGAGAATACTTTATTACTTGAACGAAGTAAATATACATTAATGAGCACATATATTTTTGAAAGAACTAAGTGTTTTCAGCTAAGAAATAAACTAAAAGAGTTACACAGTGTAGCTTTAAAGTTACTTATAGAATGTCTAAAGTTTTCTATCAAAATAAAGTATTACTGAAATTAAAGCTGCTCTGGAAGTTCGAAACTTAAGGGCACTGACACTGCTATTTGTGAACGAACGTTTGTGCACTTTTGTGTGTATGCTTGTGCCGCACAGACACATTAATGATAAAGAATGGAGAGTCTCCAAGTAAGCATTATGTATTTGCTGTCACTGGGTGATTTGTCATTAACACTGCAAAGTGACTTTCTAGACTAGTCTATTATAGAAGAGAAGGAAAAGAGAGTTGCTTTATCTTCTTGAATTAGATTTGTGCTCTTCCCTGGAGCGATATTCGAAATGTGTTTTCCTAATCGTGGCGCAGAAAACAAAAGCCCAAAAAACTAAAACAAATGTGGTCTTTAGGGTGAGATTGATGAACGAGGGAATGATCGAGGGAGGTGTTTCAGCGCTGGGCATCTCCTAAGGAGTTCAGGTCTCACAGGTTTCCTGAGCTCTCGTTGATAAAAAATGAACACACAGTAGGCTACTTTTAAATCCTATTCCTTAGCCATCAAAGCCCCAAAGCTACATCAGATCAGACTGCTCTGAAACTCGACTGTTTCTGTAAAAAAAAAATGGTAAAAAAAAGGAACATAAGAAACTCTCAAATAAAAGAGATGAAAGTAAGATCAAAAGAGAGAATGAAAAAGCAAAAATGACATTAGATGACGATAGACAAAGCCAAAAAAAACAAAACAAATGAAAGCATAAAACTAGTGAAAATAGACAAGCTAATTGTAAAGGGAATGAAAGGGAAAGCGAAATAACAAAAGAATAAACCAATAAAAAACTAACAAATGAATGATTGTAAGCAAAAACAGGAAAGAGAAAACAAAAGTGAATAGTTCAACCATGAAACTCTATTCACATTCTAATCGGTTGTAACTTTTCTGTTATGTTACTTGCTTCTCTGAAGTCCATGTTATCAGGCGCAATAATGACATTAAAATATGTTGATAAAATGAATGGACCAATATCTGCCATCCTGGCAGTTTTTCTGTTTAAAGGAAGATTGTTCTCTGTGCAATTCCCTTCTCCTGGGAATATTGGTTGAAGCTCCATAGAGAGGCGAATGAAACCAAAAGAGACATCATCCTTCTTTGCTAAGTCAATGATGGTGACTGTGACTAACATTTCTGATGGACCCATAGCAGAAGAGCAAGACGATGCCCAGAGGAACACTGACAGGTTCTGACTGCGTTTCCTGGGTTTGACTATAAATAAATTGCGGGTGTGAGCTGTAAACAAAACTGTGTGTTGTAGCATGTCGGAGCAGCGAGCTAAGACCACTTTAATGATTCGGAGGGGGCCTCGGGGGTCCGGAGTCCAAATGATGATTATCACACCCTGTAATAACCTCAGCTTTATCATTTCCCTTTCACAGATCCCTGCAGCTTCCAAGGAGAGGCATAATCCAGTCAGGATTTGGATGGATTTACTAGTTTTTCAGCAAATAAACATCAATCCATCCAAGGGAAGAACAACAGATGGATGACTGGATAGATCTGCGTGAACAGGCCAGAATAATCAGGTAAAATACAGAGAATTGTGGTATAATGTTTAATAGCACATATTTCATTATATTGATTTAAATGAAAAACGGGGATAACAACCATTACACTACTGTAATACCAACGCATTCTCATCCTTTAACGTCATATAGAGCGCTATATGACAAAACGGCGCTATACTACGCTAAAGGCACCCGTTATCGTTAATATAACACGTGCTGTGAGGGCTAAGTTTAGGTGTGGGGTAGGGTGTACGTGTCATATTCACGCTAAAGGATTTATAACGTCTTGGGTTCGCGTGTTATATTAACGATAACGGGTGCCATGTGCGTAGTATAGCGCCGTTTTGTCATATAGCGTTCTATATGACGTTAAAGGATGAGAACGGGCTGGTAATACACAAATGTTCAAATGTTTAGGGCCAGTAAGATGTTTTTGATGTCAAAGCTGATTTTTCAGCAATATTACTCCAATCACAGTCCCACGATCCTCCAGAAATCATTCTTATATGCTGATGTGGTGCTCAAGAAACATTTATTTTTTTATAATGATCAATGTTGAAAACAGTTGTGCCGTTTAACATATTTTGTAGACACCTTTTTATGTTTTCATGCTTAACTGATTAATAGAAAGTTCTAATGAACAGAAACAGAAATATGTTGTAACATCGATGTCAGTGTCTTTGTAGCGTCACTTTTGTTCAGTTAAATGCATCTTTGCTGAATAAAAGCACTTAAAGATTTACATTACACATCACAATGCAGTGTCCCGATACTGCATAAGTAATCGGTCAGCACATATTTCTAAAATGAGAGAGGAGTCACAAATTCGAGTACAGTTAGCATTGCAAAAAGCGCAGGCACAATTTTTCAATGTGTGGGAATTGCAAACCTGAGAGGGAACTCTCAACTCGTGGGTACAATTTGTTAAATTTAGGGAATTATTTCAAAGTCTGTGAGAGTGGTTTATAAACTGAGGGGACAAATTACAAGGCCGTGGCCATGTGTATTTTTTTATCTTTTTTCTTGTGCAGGTGACTTCCCAGGATCTGAAACCGCTACTGGTGAGGAAAAAAAAAACTACTAGCAATTTTATCCAAACAACACCAGAACAAAGATCTGCTGCGAATAGAGATAGAATTACAGCACCCCTTTTCTGCCTCTCTATTGATTTATCTAGTTTGCTTCCTGTTTTATCAGCATGTCTCGATGTTTCTAATTTATTACTGTGCAGAGATTGTCCCATTCAACTTCTGAACACAAATTGCAGCAAATTCAATTTAAGGCCTCCAAGTCTGAAAAGACCAGTTAGACTAACATGGAAAAGAGCGCTATCTATGGACCTTAGCCAGGATAGGTGTCATGTTACATTTTTCGTTAAATGAAAACAAATTTGTACAGGATAGATTTGCTGTCCTTTTTTTTACTGTTGTGTATATTTCTCAGAATTGTGTATTTTTATTTTAGAGATATCACGTCATATCTATTATGACTTATTATTGTATTAGATTATTAGATTATTGCAAATTGTAATTTCTCCCTTTATACCACGAGTCTATTGATTTGATTTGATTGATTGATACACAGTGTTATTTAATATTCTAAATTTTAACATCTTAAAATTTGTAATATTAAAAGTATTTATGGACTTGGAATGTGATTATACAACTATACAACTTGGTCCTCAAATCTGTCAGATTACCTTCAATTCATTTGAGATTTTTTTACGTTTTAGACAAACCAAGCATTTCTTTCTACTCTCTAGATTTTGAGTTGAAGGGTGAGAAACAGAACAGTACTTATAAACATTCTTCTCAAGTCCTGGGAACGGAACAAATCTCTAAGAAAGGTCTGATCCCATAATGCATGTTTTAAAGTGCTGATTTCCTGAATGATGGATTAAACATTAGGGAAAATAATAGCATTAGACCTTCAAAAAAACAAAGAATCCACCAAGAAACTATTGTAAGAGTTACAATAAATGTGTGCTTCATATTTACTGCCTGTTCTCAAGTCTAATGAGTAGTTATGAGCTTCATCGCAGTTCACACAGACTGCTATCCATCCTGAACAGGATTATCTCAGATTAGAATTAGTGTGTACCAAATCATAATCCATTAAAACAGTGAGTAAACCATTACTATTTTATACTTTTTTCCTGTGGATTGTTGAAGCGTGGACTTGACATCAGTAAGATGTATTTATTTTTTTATTTTTTTCATTTTTTCAAGGCTGCATTATATTGATCAAAGGTGACAGTATAGACATTTAGGCTACGTTCACACTGCCAATCCAAATCTGATTGTTTGTTTATAGTTTATGCGACTCGAATCTGATCTAACAGTATTGACAGTCCACTATTTTATCTCTATTGATAATAATTACAATAGTACTGTTTTTACTGTACTTTTGATAAAAAATAAATAAATGCAACTTTAAGAGACGTCTATAAAAAGCTTTTAATAATCTTTTGCCAACGATGTAGTAACAGTGTGATTGCTTGTAGATTGCATGTAAAATACATATCAGCCTGCACCTAGTTTCATAACACATCATATATAATAAACCAATTTTAGAAAACATTTTTTTTCTATAAATGGAAATGTTATTTTGCTTTTCATCTGATCTCTTGCCAATTTATATTTATTTATTTATTTTTTCTGTTGTCTGACTGTTTCAGACATCCTTGGCTCTGTAGTGGGCAATATAACACCCATTTTAGAACCAGGTTTGTGAAGAGGCTTACTTTTTAAGAGACTTTGCATTTGGATTGAAGTTGACCGTTTGTATTTAAATACTTTACTAAAAAGATATGCAGTTTCAACATTTTGAAAATTTAAATTCCCCATAAATCTCTTGAGGCTCTTAAACTGAACAAACCACCATCATATCTCTAAAACACGCAGAAACAAATGTCGTACATCTTTCATGTGCAAATGCAAACCATGTTGTTTACGCGGCACATGGCCAAAACAATTAGACTGACGCCAGCATTCAAATAGTGCTTCAACCAGTATTATTTAATACACCAAACACAAACAGGAATTAATTGGATATTTCTTCTTTAGAAACTACCAAGTGCCCCAGCTGAGTGTGAAAAAAAAAGAAAGGCAACAGAAGTTCCCTTTTCACCAGAGCACAGACATCCACTGCCCTTTATACTATGGCTGCTCATGCAGAAACAACGAAAGAAAACAACAGCTGGGCTCACTCCACGTTCTTCCCCAGTTTGTAGTATTTCCAAAACTGAATCACTTTTAATAATCTTATATGAACATTCATTCTGCTATAATATAATAATGAGATTTTAATGATAATAATGATATTCGTATGGCTTCGGTAAGAATGAATAGAATAATTCACTTGGTCCACTTCCTTAGCTCAGCCAGGACAGAGAGAAAAGACCCCCATTAAAGGTCTTGAATTGTGAATAACATCACATGTTGTTTATGTGTTACAATTGTTGAGCTTTGTTGCCTGCATTGTTCTTTCTATGCCTTAGACTTTGTGTTTTGTTTGTAAAATTAGTCACAAACAACTTACAAGCTAACTATAATAACCACATTTTTTCCCTATGTATATGAAAGTCTTAAACTTACCTGTTCCTGTAAGTGTGTGCTCTTCACAATCACCTGACATATTCACAAGCTCCAAGATCACCTGTAAAGCAGTAAATGACTAGTTATCACTCCGTTTTCATTGTCATCTGACAATCTAGTTTGCTTTCCTCCCTTTTACCGTTTCGACCACACTCCAATAAAGCTGTATTATACTTTCATTTTAACGTCATCATCTCTGGTATTTCCTGACACTCTGCACCTCAGCAACACAAAGCATATCACTGGCATGTTTTGTAATCAAAGACACATCATGGGCCCTATCATACACCTGGCACAATACAGTGCCAAACGTGACAAGTGGTTTTTGCTAGTTTCAGCCCGACGCAGTTATCATTTTCACGTCCTGCGCCAAGTTGTTTAAATAGCAAATGTATCTGCGCCTATTTATGCGCCCATGGGCGTGCTGGTCTGAAAACGAAGTGTTTTCAGATGCATTGTTGGCGCGTTGCTATTTTGAGGCAACTGAAATAGACTGTGCCATAATGTTAAGCTATTTAAACTGTATGAAGTTCAGTGAACTTCTGAACTGTATGAACGGCGTTCGTGGTTCGGCTTGTCGAGACTGTTTTCCAAAGATGGCTGCTGCCTGTATACACAAAGTGCACTGTCTTTATAAAATATCTTCTTATTAAACGGTCGATAATCAGATTATCATAAAAACAAATCTCAGAGAACGGTCGACTAGGTACCAATGTGTAATTAGACCAAAGGTTCATTTTGTACCGGAGTTCTCCTTTAATAATCTGAGCACAATTTCTAAAGTGAGGCCATTTTACTAAAGAAGTCTTCTAAAGGTGACTTGGGCTCTGCAGTTTCCATTTGAAAATTCTCCTTTTCCTCTTTCATATGTTTCAGAATAAGTGGTGAGAGCTCTTATTTGCGAGAGCACAAAGAATAGAAGGATATTACTTTATTTCAAGGAAGAGCCACGTGTCTTTTTCGAAGTTCAACACTGTAAAGTACTAAAACCATTTATGAAAATGGTCCATTTCTCTCAGTGGGAGCCATTTTGGCTCTGATGTCCAAAATATGACTCACTTTTGTATATGGAAACAGATAAAAGATAGGGTGTCTGCAGTAGCTGTGCAGGATTGAGGCGTCTTGTAGACCCAGAAAGGTACGCTGAAACCCCCTATGTGGCAGAAGGTCACACGCAGGAGGAGGGAGAATTGTGTGAAATGCACACGTCGTCTCTGTCTTTCTCTCCCCCAGTGCTAACGCCTCTAACGGCACAGCCAATTAACAGGAGAAGGGTGTGAGGACTGCTGTGTTGACAAAGCGTTCTCATTCCCCTATGAGTTGTGTGGCTCCCAGATTGCTGCTGTACTGTTTTCTCACACCGGCCTATGAGGCAGTGCCTCGCTTTCTCACCCGGCTGCACAGACTCCCTTTATTTGTAGTTAGCACTGCAGTCATTACAGTCAAGGTGACCCAGTATTTGCATACATAGTGGTGCAGTACATGCATGTAAAGGGGACGACACGTCTGTTTTATGCTGTACACCATTTTAGTAACTACGCAGGATTTAGTGAACAAAAAATGTAAAAACATGACAATATCGATGATGATTTCATATTCTAAACCCTTTTGAACATTTAACATTACTCTGGATAGAAAACACAATTGGATTTTTTCAGTTACTCTTTCTGCAGGTTACATTGTTCGTCAGTAGATTTTTTTTATTCAATCTTACAACCAATTCCTTCAAAATGGTTCATTCTCAAATAAAATAAGTGACTGTCTTTGAGTGAATTACTGAATCATTCACCGATTCATTTAAAACACGATTCATTCAGCAACAAAACACCAGGCGTAAACGGTGTTTCCTTCGTCCACTTTTGATCAAATGATTTGTTCAAAAACACTAATTCATTTAGGAACAAAACAACAATACTGTGTGTTTTTTTGGAAATGGTTGATACTGCTTTGGCTTTTGTTGATGGAGCAGAAATGAACACAATAACTTGCACTTTTGTGTCTAAAACGTAATAAGTTACAACAAATGGAGTGCTGTGGTGATGACATATTTTTGTATGCCAACGCGGAAGTTCGCATCAAACTGGTTCCCTTGACAAAAAACCCAATAGAATTTTTCCATAGGCTAAAAAAGTGAGCTCTGTTATCAACAAAAGTGTATGATACTTCAACGTATTCTCATCCTAGGGCGTCATGTAGTGATGCTTTTGACAATGCGGCAATGCTTCAAATGTCAATATAACACGCTTCGGTTATGGGTAGGTTTAGGTCTGGGGTAGGGTTAGGGTTATACCACTAGGAGGCGCCTTCTGGCCCATATATACAGTATCTGCGTCTCATATTGACGCTAAAGGGTGCCATGTGCGTTGGATGTATGACGCCTTGGGATGAGAACGGGCTCGACACTTACTGTATAGGCCTGCACACAGGAAGTTTTCACTAATTAACACAACTTCTATGAATTTTGAAACCTAAAAGCAATCAACAGCTAACCTTAGGCTATTTCACGAGTTCATTTGCCCAAGACGGTTATGTGCATTTGACTTGCTGTCCACAGTGGAGGGGCTTGAGGAAGCAGATTCAACTCAAGCTTAGATATACCCCCCGTGGGACTAATGCTTGGATGATGAGTATGGGTTTAGTCGTCCCGAAATTACGTTTGTGAACTTCAGTAACTCGACTTTACCTCCACCAAGGTTATTTGAGACTTTTGACCAAAACCCCATTCAAACAACCCATCTGCATTGTGCTTCAGACATGAATGAAACCTTAAATCGTGGTTTGCTCAGCAGAGTTGTGCTTTTAAA